GGGAGGCTGAGGCAGGAGAATGGCGTAAAACGGGGAGGTGGAGCTTGCGGTGAGCTGAGATCTGGTCACTGCACTCCAGCCTGGGTGACAGAGCGAGACTCCGTCTCAAAAAAAAAAAAAAAAAAAAAGGAAGGAAAAAGAAAAGCCAGCTACAGGCCAGGGGCAGTGTTTACACCCGTAATCCCAGGACTTTGGGAGGCCAAGACCGAAGGATGGCTTGAACCCAGGATTTGAGACCAGCCTGGGCAACAGTGAGCCCCTGTGTTTACATAAGAAAAGAAAGTCCAGTGGGGCAGCATGCACCTCATGCACCTGAGCCATGAGCCCACCACTACACTTCAGCCTGAGCAACAAAGACCCCATCTCAGAAAAAAAAAAAAAATCTGCTACCATGCAGAAAACCAATCATTTACTGCAGCCCACCCGGAGCTTCAGAGCCATAGAACTAGAGCTGAACAGCACCTTAGAGGTCGCTACATTAGGTGGTTCGGCAACTGAGACCCAGAGTTGCTGCTAAGCTTGCTCAAGATCCCACATCAATGTATGGCAGAATCGAGAACCTGGCATCCCCTGACAAGTCTGGCTTTGCTCTGATGCTGGTCTGAGGTGGATGATGACATCCAGAACCTTGGCTTCACCCACACATCCAAGTAACCCGAAGACCACAGGGGCCAGCGTCCTGCTGGGAAGGTATGAGAGGGGACCACAGCAAACAGCCAATTGGCACCTTAAGTCCCCACAATGACTGGGAAGCAGGGATTCCTTATCCACGACAAGCCTGAAGCAGGCTGGCAGAGCTGCCCCCCTTTCAGTGGTGCCTGGTCTCCTGGCACCTGCCCCTTTTTCCCTCTCCCCTGAAGACCAAAGAACCTCAGGTAGTAGGTTTTGTCACTTCCTTTTGGGGAACAGGCTTCAGGCTGTGTAGAGGGTATAAAGCCCCAGTTATGCATGCCACATATACACTGGCGTGCCTTGTAGGGTAAACGTGCAGGGCATAAACACAGCATCAAAACATGCCACAAGCCCTTGAGGCTCACGAGCTCATAGGAGAAGGCATGATGCCCACCCGCGTCCCTGCATCTGCCAACACAGGGTATCTTGTGCTGGGCTGCCTGAGGTGCTGTCCTTCCTCCTTTTCTCTTGCAGCCTTAGGTCCCAGCCCGGGATGGTTTCCACTGCGTGCCTGGGCCTCCAGGGCTCCTCCGTGCCGATGCATGCTTGCTGTGGGCGTGGAGCTTACCATTCTCACCTGGCAGCCCCAGTTATGGCTCCCAGCCTGGGGGAGAACTTCCCTTTCCAAAGTTAGATAACAGGCTGAGCTCTCTGTCAGAGGATTGGCGCGACAGCTCCACGTGCTGCAGCTGGCGCAGGGCCAGGCCCGCCCTGCCAAGCAGCGGGAAGGGAAGGCCTGGCTGCAGCCGGAGCTGGCAGGTGGCCAAGCCGGGGGTGGACGGGCGGGCCGGGACTGGTGCTGGCCATTGGCTGCCTCAAGGCTCCCACCCCGCCTGCCTCCCCTTAGCCTGCGGCTTTGGCCGGCCCCTGCCTCTCCAGCTGCTTCTGAACTCCCTGGAGCAAGCACCTCCTGCTGGGCTGTGTGAGCTGCGACCGGTTCCCAGTGGCCCCTGCCATGGACATGCCTGAGGTCCTCAAGTCCCTGCTGGAGCACTCTCTGCCTTGGCCAGAGAAGAGAACAGGTAGGAGCGCAAGTGACCGGCAATGGCTGGCTGCCCAGGTACTCGAGGGTGCGAGGGGGCAGCCACAAGCACAGTGGCAGGACAGGCATCTCCAAGCCAGGGAGGGTCCCGGTAGTGGTGTGCCCTTGGTCTCAGGGTGCAGAGTGCGGAGAGGGGTTCGAAGAGGCATATGTCACACCGGCTCTGGGACTGTTTCCTAGGCCTGCCGGATTTTGGGAAGCCATGGCCAGTGTGTGGCCACTGACAGGTGCTGTGCTCATGTGGGACCAGGACAGGACAGGACAGGACAGGACAGGACGGGGGTCCTGTTGAAAGAATCTGGCTGGACGCTGACTGCTTATGAAGCTCCCTCCCGCTGTACGCTGGGGGTGGCAGAGTGGCAGGGACTGTGGATTTGGGGAGCAGAAGCCTGGGTCTGAAGCAGAGGCTTTCCTTGGTGCGCCTGCTGCAGCTCCCGCTTGCCGGAGGGCTGAACTCATGGATGGGATGGAAGCTGTTATGTAACAGGACCACAAGGCTCGAAGCCCTGCGTTCCTAGGATACCACAGACAAAACACGCGCGAGGGAGGAGAGAGGAGGGCGTGGACCACGGGGCAGACCTGGTGGCCAGCACCAGTTGTCTCCTGAGTCCTGCCTGGGAACCCCACGGCCAGATTAGTTTGGGAGAGAATCCTGATAAATCTCTCTCCAAATCTCTTCTGTTCCCAGACTTCAGGGGTCACCCCCAGGTCCCCAGGGCTCCAACTCCTCCTTGCCTTTACAGGGGCCCATTGGCCTCTGCTGCCTGAGTCTGACTTGGGTGCCTGGGGTGTCCTCTCAGGGGACCTTTCTCAGGCCTCCCTCTCATCCTGCTGTGCCAGCACCTGCTACCTAGCATCACCAGGTGGCCCTGGTGGTCCCTGCAGGACTTCCTTCCACAGGATGCTCTCAGCCCATTTCCAAACCAGAGCCAGGAGACAGACCCCACAGCCCCTGGCCTCCCTTCACCCCTCTGGCACCGGGTGTGGGTTTGCTTGCACTAAACCAGGAAAGGAGGGTCAGCAGGTTCTGTTCCTAAGGACACATTGCCCGAATGGGGAAGGGGGTCTGGGAGCTCAGGGCAGGGGCTCCCGAGCTCTCGCCTGCAGCTCTGGGCTCAGGCCCCTCCAATCACACCCCATACTGTCAAATGCTGGGACACTCCAGGCCACCCTCCAAGATGAGTGTCACAGAAGGCACTCCTGGGGCCTCCTAGCACTGGGGACACCAGTTGTTCACCAGGAGAAGGCCACCTCCTCAGGGAAGCCCTCTGCAACTCAGCCCGAGGGATCTGCCCCCGTTTGGAGTCCACACCCACAAACAAGCCATAGCTGACTTTTTTGGCATCTCTGAGTGGCCTGTGAGGGTTGGCAGAGCTGAGCACCTATCCAAAAGCTAAGGTGGACGGTCCCCTCCTTGTCCCAGAAACCCAGGAAGGGTGGGGCAGCCGCTCCTGGCTCCCCTCAGGTGTCCCAGGATGTCCCCCAGCACGCACACGAAGGGTGAGGCTGCCAGTGGGGTAGGGAGGATTCTCAGGGGCGACTCGGGGCACTGCTCCTCAGATGAGGATAACAAGGCCTTTGAAGTGTGGCAGCAGCTGCCAGGCTCTGGCTCCCAGCTGGTCTGCAGAGCCCTGCAATAGCCGGAAAGTCCCCCTCCCTCACTGTGGATGAGCGAAGTCAGGGCCTGGCACATAGGGGACCGCCCAAGGTTTCAGGCAGAGCTTTGCCGAGCACTGGCAAGCTGTGGCCGAGAATTAGTCCAGCGTGGCTGGGCAGGTCCAACGGGTGTGGGCCAGTCTTGGGTCACCTCCTGTCCCTTCATGTGGCGTCTCACTGAGGGTGAGAAGCATGAGGTCCCACGGGACTGACAGATGCCTGCAGCCAACTGCTAGATAAAATGGGAGGAAGAGGGTTGAAGAGCCACAGGGGTCACAACGACCGCAGCACATTCTTGCCCCCTAATCTGCGATCAGTTTCCCAAAGCCGCCCAAATCTCCAGACCATTTATAAACACAAATGTCTACCTGAAAAGCAATAGACCTTGTTGAAAAGAGGGTATATCCGCCACACAGAATGATTACGGAATTACTTGCCATTGGGGACCACGTACTTAAGTTGTTGTTGAAGCGGCTTCTCTCCCATCTCCCACTGCTCTGACTTTGGGTTTGAATGGGAGAAAGACGACAGAGACCAGGTGCTCCAGAAAAGAGGGATGCCCTCAGGCCCGCGTGCCCTTGCTTTGGTGGACTTCCTGCTGCTCCCGTCCGGTGGAAGGGGGCAGTTATCTCTTTGGAGGACTGTTTACAAACTCCCCATTTTCTCCTTTCCCCTGCCCCATGGCTGTGCTTCAGCACGCATTTAGGTCACGCGCAGAGCGTATCTCGCCTCCAGTGGGAGGGAAGTGTACTGGAAAGCCGTGCGGAGTGTGAGAAACTCCAGGTGTGCTCTCTGCTCTCTGCTCCATGCAGTCTCTCACTCCACTTTCTTTTATTTTCTTTCTTTCCTTTTTTTTGAGACAGAGTCTTGCTCTATCGCCAGGCTGGAGTGCATGCAGTGGTGCAATTTAAGCTCACTGCAACCTCTGCCTCCCGGTGGAGAGAATTCAAGCAAGTCTCCTGCCTCAGCCATCCAAGTACCTGGGACTACAGGCGCCGCCACCATGCCAGGCTAATTTTTGCATGTTTAGTAGAGACGGGGTTTCACCATGTTGGCCAGGATGGTCTTGATCTCTTGATCTCGTGATCCACCCGCCTCGGCCTCCCAAAGTGCTGGGATCACAGGCGTGAGCCACAGCGCCCACTGTTTTTTTGTTGTTGTTGTTTGTTTTTTTAGACATTGTCTCACTCTGTTGCCCAGGCTGGAGTGCAGTGGCGCAATGTCAGCTCACTGCAACCTCCACCTCCCATATTCAAGCAATTCTCCTGCCTCAGCCTCCTGACTAGCTAGGATTACAGGCACCTGCCACCACGCCCAGCTAATTTTTGTATTTTTAGTAGAGACGGGTTTCACCATGTTGGCCAGGCTGGTCTCAAACTCCTGACCTCTAGTGATCCAGCTGCCTCGGCCTCCCAAAGTGCTGGGATTACAGGCGTGAGTCACTGCACCCTGCCTCATTTCGTCTTCTAGTTCGATGACGCCCCTTGAAACCCAGACTTGGAGCCCCTCTCCCTAATGCTGCCCCTGGGCCTCCCAGCCCAGTCCATGTAGACCTTCCCTCTTTCCTGTCCCTGGATAAACAGACTTTCTCCGCCAGAACTGACCAGCTCCCAGACTCCCTTGGTTTCCAGCCACAATGGCTGCTTGGTAGCCTTCACTCTAGGTCATGAGTTCAAACAATTTCCCTTTTGGTAGAGAAATCCATTTCCAGCAAAAGGGTGGGTCTGTAGCCCAAGCCCTGACTCAGTTTCCCCTCTATGTCCCTGGGACCTAAATCCTGAAAACCACTCTTCCTGTCTTCACTCCCACCCTGTCTCCCAAGGATCCTTTTCCAGGAATCGATTCTGTTCCAGACTGCTCACTCCAGCTCTCACGTCTTTCTCCTCCAGCTTCTGGAAAGACACGCGTCTCTAAATCATATGATTAGCATTTTATACCCTATCCTTCCCTCTCCCGTGGGGCCTTGGCTATGCTTAGAGATACCCCTCCCGTTTTCCTGTCATCTCCAGTCGCTCAGGCCTCCGTTTCAGGGAGTTATGGAGCCTGAACATACAGCTCGAAGGCTGAACAAGGCCTTTGCTTTGGGCTGGGCAGGTGGCATCCCCATGTAGGGGCACTCCTGATCTAGAATCCTTTCTGGATAAGGCAGCATGGCCCTGGGAAGAGAGCAGGGGGCTTATGATCAGAGTCAGGACACAAATCCTAATTCTATAACCCACTGGTTGGGACTTGCCCCCCTCTCTCTCCATCTCCAAACTTTAAAAAGCAGAAAAGAGTATCTGTGTCACGAGCTTGTTGCCAAGATTAAGTGAGCTATCCCATGTGAAAGTGTCTGCAAACCGTGAGGTGCCGTGCTGATTTTTTCTGTGAAAGGCAAACAGCAGCGTGGCCTGGCATCATGCGCCTTCTACCTACATCCCACTTGCAACCTGACCCTCATTCCCTTCTTTCCACCTTCCTTTGAAGAACTGGATGTTACAAGTTGGTGCGTACACACACACACACACACACAGCTGTCTCCTTGGAAACACGTGCTGAGACTCCTAGAGGCATGGTGCCATCTGCCCTGCATGCAACAGGACAGCCCCATTTCATAACAGGCAGGATCTCAGCAGGACTTGCTGGGGCAGAGGCAGGGGTACAGGAAGAGAGCGCCTTGGTGTCATCCTCTTGGTGGATTGAGACAAATGAGCCAAGAGGGTGGACTCGGTGCAGCCTGGGCTCTCCTGAGCTTGGCCTGAGTAAAGGGCCCTGTGTTTGCCTCCATGCACAGCCTGGGAACCAGAGCAAAACTGAGAAATCGAGGAGTTTGCTTTCAGGGATGAGGATAGGGGAGAGGGCCTTCTACGTGCTGGACATGTTAGCTCGTTTAATCCTCACTACCTCCTTCTAAATGGTATATTTCCCCTGTTCTTCTGGTGAGAAAATGAACTCAGAGACACTGGCTACCCTCAGGGCCAGTCTCTCTCTTCTTCCTTCCTGCCCTAGGAGCCCAGAGCCTTCTTCTCTACCTGCCCCCCACCCCACCCCTTCAGAGAAATGTGAGAAACAAATTCTCACCAAGTGCCAGGCATTGCCGGCAGTGTGAGAAGGAGGCATGCTCCTTCCAGATGGCTAGGCTGCTACAGGACGGGCTCCTGACTTGACAGCCACCATCTCCTGAGCATGTGCCAGGACTGTATTGCGTGCTCCTATATCATTATCTGTGCAATGGCTCTGTAAGGAAGGTATGATCATCCACTCTGCAAATGAGGACATCAACGCTCAGAGAGGGAAGGCCACACAGTTGTTGAAGGATTCAAACCCAGTTCCTCCTGACACCAGGCTCGTGCCTACCCATAGGGTTCTCTGGGCTCTGAAAGCATGCCTCGGGCGGTAGCTCTTGGTCGCCCAGCCACTCATCATGTGCTTCCAGAGCATTTGCTATGCTTGGGGAGCCCGGGGTGAATGAAACCAACTCTACTCTTGCTCCCCTGGTGTTTGGATTCTAGAGGGGAGACACAATCAGCTGTGTTTAGGCAGGAGGCGCTGGTGGTCAGGACCAGCCTCTCCCAGGGAGAGGCATTTGAACTGAGGCCTGGAGGCCTACAGGGTGAGGAAGAGCCAGCTACCCAAGGAACTTGCAGGCTGTGGGAAGAGCACCCGCAAAGGCCCTTCCTGGGACGGGAAAGACAAAACAGGTCTCAGGAATAAAAGGCCACTATGGCTGCAGAAAGCAAGCAAAGGGGAGAGGAGTACCAGGTGAGCGCCTGCAGAGCCTTGACAGTCATAAAGAGGAGTGATGCTGTCATCTCCCTGTCTGTAAGGACCCCCCGCACTCACTATTCTTGGGGAAGTGGCTGGTGGGGAGAAATGAGGTATCCCCAGAACAATCCATGCAGGAATTACAGTAGAGTTAACTTTAACTGAGCCCATGCTATAGGCCAGGTGGTGTCCTAGCACTGTGCCTGAATGGACTCCTTTACTTTGGACACCAAGGTACAGAGAGGTTCAATAATTTGCCCAAGATCACCAAGAAATACAGTTAACCCTTGACTACCACGGGGATTAGGAATGCTGCACTGCATGCAGTAGAAAATCTGCATATAATTTTTGACTCCCCAAAAGCTTAACCACCAATAGCCTACTGTTGATGGGAAGCCTTACAGATAACATCAACAGTTGATGAACATATATTTTTAAGAGCACCAATTTATTGTGTTGTATATCGCGCATTTAGGTGGATACATAACATATTGTCGTTATTGAGCATACCACAACATATGCAGTAACGTGCGTCGGCATGTGGCGCTTTGTTAGCATCTCCATGCGTTCCTGAGCCGATAACTCAGCAATATTACAACAGAGTATATTTCACTAGGGCGGCTCGAGCCCTATCCTCTGGCCCCGTATTTTTTTCTTTTTTGACAGAGTCTACCACTCTGTCGCTCGCAGGTTAGGAGTGACAGCGTGGCATGATTATCTAGGCCTCGAGCTGCAACCTCTTGCCTCCTGGGTTCAAGTGATTCTCCTGCCTCGAACCTCATCCAGAGTAAGATGGGATTTACACGGCACCCACCCACCATGTCCCAGATAATTTTTGTATTTTTAGTAAG